TATCCTACTTATAACAGGTTATTACTATAAACACCCATGAAGCTTCCAAGTGCAGCCCAGCAGCCCGACAGTCTCCGAGAACTGAGGATCGTCAATGACGAAAAGCCCACACAGAGCACAAACGAGAACTGGCACCTAGACTGCTGAGTTCTGTTTCCTTGCAAGCATGGAAGAAGACCAAGCAAGTTTTTTCTTTTTAATACGGGTTTAGGGTGCCTGTAGGCTAACCCGAAGCATCTTCAACTTTGGAGGAAGGCCTCAGGGAAGCCCTTATGAGGGGTCTCACTGACTCGATGCATCCTTGATGTTGATGAGGTTCTGACCTTTCAGAGTCCGCGTGAGCGACTGCTTTTTTTGCGCAGTACTGCAGTTGGTGGCAATTGACAGCAGTTTGGTGGTCGGAACTTGCTGTAGGGGAACGAGATAGGGGCACTGATTAAAACGAGATCAAGCAAATGTATGACCCGATGTAGTTCTAATTGAACTCAAACGAGAAACATTAGCCAACGAGATAGAGCCAAAGCTAAGACGTAGCTGCGCCAGCTAGCCCATGAAACAAAGAAACCCGGCGCCTCACATGGAATCCGTCAGGTTTGAGTTTAGCTGAGACTTCGGGCTTTTTGTGGGTTGCGGGCTGTCGGGCACCAAGGCAAATGGCACAATCGAAGGCCTGTATTACCGCGTTACGATCACGCACAAACTGGTTTCTCGATGTCAAGCGTCAGCCGGCCAAGGCAAACCACAAGCGAACAACTACCCAAAGAGCCCCTAAACCCTAAAAGCCTAAACCCAACTACCCAAAGAGCCGGGTTCCGAGGTCGTGGAGCACGGCCGCCACGGACAGCCTGGAAGAACTCGTGCCGGTTGGGCACCTACCTGGGTGGTCTAGGGTTGAGAGGGCTTGCTTGGGTCACGAACGAGAGTTCTCGAAGGCAAGACTACGGGTGACGGTCACTGGTGGGGGAAGTTTTGGAATTCCAATAGCAACTCAGCTAAGACGATTATGGGAGCTACTTTCACGAAGCATCGCTCAGTGGCTGTCCCTGCTCTGGTGTCATATCCTGGAACTTGCGTTGGTCTTTGGACCCCGGCTCAATCCACCTTCCTCTGCTGTCACCGTGTCCCCCAAGTTCCCACAAGCCCTCCATGCCATCAAGCAGCCCCTGTTTGAATTTCGCTCATGGTTTGCAATCTGACATGAGTCGGACGACCATTTCATTTGATGATGCTCTGATTTTGTTGCTTTGTGCCAGAGAAGATCCCGAACTTGTCAGTCTACTGTAGGCTGTAGGGGCTTAAGGTTTAGACTCAGATTTCCCGAAACTGCATGGGTTGTCATGACACAGATGAGGAGGACTTCTGCTTGAGAGCTCGAGTCTTTGATGTCAGACGCAAGCTTCGAGTTGGTGCTGTCGTCAGGACCTCTACGTGTCACTCGGAATGCAGGGGAGGATGGCACTAGAGGAGCTGTTCCATCCTGACAGATCCCAGCTGTAGGTTCATGGCTTCTTGCGCCTAGTACTTGCCCCAGCGCCGCGTGAATGAGGCCTGGAGCAAAGCAGACGACAGAGGAGGAGTACTTGAGTGAGCAGCAAGAGCGAGTTCGCCAGCAAGAACTCTTGGCAGAGCAAATGCGGCAAATACAATTGGTGCAGATGCGCCAGGAGCAAATGCGTCAGGAACAGTTGCATCAGGAACAGTTGCGTCAAGAGCAATTGCGCAAGGAGCAGTTGCTGCAGGAGCAGATGCGCCAGGAGCAGATGCGCCAGGAGCAGTTGCGCCAGGAGCAGATGCGTCAGGAGCAGTTGCGCCAGGAGCAGTTGCGCCAGGAGCAATTGCGTCAGGAGCAGTTGCAGCTGGAGCGTTTGCAGCAGCAGAAGCAGCAGCAGCTGCAGCAGCAGCAGCAGCAGCAACAGCAGGCCCAAATGCAAATGCAGCAGCAGTTGCAGTTGCAGATGCAGCGCCTGAGCTTATGTATTATATGCTCATTTCTGTCAAGTAGCTGATTTTCCAGCTTAACTCAGATCTCCAGGCTTTTCTGTAAGTGAGCCTACTGCGTAGCGTGCAGTGCAACTTGTACATCGGTTTCAATCCAGAACCCCAGCAGTTGATCCACACTTCCGACGCAACATGACTGATGCGGAGCAGATGTCAGACTTGCTCAGGCAAGTGCAGGGGCAGATGCAGACGCAAGGGCAGGCAGTCTGGCTGCCAATTTCCGTTGTTTCAGGGACCACGGCATTTGCACTCAATGCTCAACTTGGTTGTGCGTTCCTGCGTAGGCGCAGCAGACTATGCTGGTGGCTTTGCCCATGAACTTTATGCCCATGATGATGCCTTCGCAGCTTGCTTTTACTTCCGTCGATGCAGCCTCCCTGCGTGGAATTTCTGACACTCCAAGGAACCAGATGCAGATGAATCCGCAGAATGCACTGGGCTATCCCGAGGATGAGGAGCAGCAGCAAGAGCAGCAGGCCGTTTCCGTGCACAAAAATGTTGCTTCAAGCCCGGAGATCATGAACTTGCAGCGGCCAGGCCAAAGCCATTGTGCCCAAGTATGCTGAAGGCGGGCCGAGAAAAGACCTGTGAAAGAAGGCGCAAAGATCCGTAGGCCGTAGCAGCATCAGAACAAAATTTCCCCAGTTGCCGGTAGTAAAGTAGGTAGTTAACTGGTACTTGCGGTACTAGTCGTCGCCGTCGTCGTCGCAGTGGTCGTGGTAGTGGTAGTAGCCGTGACAGTGGCAGTAGTAGTTAGTAGTAGCAGCACCCGTAGTATAGCACTAGCACTAGCAGCGGTCCTGCAGCAGCAGAGTAGAAGCAGTAGCAGTGATCCCCGGAAGTAAGGCAGAACTTTATCTCCAAGGAGGTCGCGCGAAGTTCCGACAGACTTCCGCTGTCCTTACAATGGTAGGTGGTGAAGTCATCGATTTAACACCTTGGGTTTTGGCAGGCTGCACAGTATCTGACCGCACTGTTTGTGACGAGGAAACATTACAAACTATGAGAAGGCCCAAGATGTACTGCCGGAACCCGATTAAAAGCCAAGGCCACCATAGTAATGAAGGTTGAGTCGGGAACGCAACGAACCCGATGCGAAGGCCCCATCTTCGGATCGACCCACCGCTTCCACCAGAAGCATCTTGGATGTCGAGCAGCCGCGAGGTTGTTAGTCTTGAAAGCTTTTTGAAGGGGAGCCAAAGCTAGTGTCATGGCAAAGTGCCTGTGCCAAACATAGAAACATTTCCACCAACAGGATCGTCGCTACAGAAGTAGCCAACAATTTCCTGTTAGGTCAAGGTTGAGGCATGGACGAATACCTCTAACTAAATCAACCGGATCAATGCCAGTAGCAATTGTCACACACACACACCCTGCAGCAGCGATAGCTGTCATCCCTTGAGAATCATCTTCCTCATCCTCATCATCGATGACTCACTCCTAGCCGTGCACATAGTCAGGATTCGGGGAGATGATGCTTGCTCTCAACACCAGCCAAGGAACAGCAGCATGGGTGTGCTGTCGCAGGATGCACGCACTTTCACGAAGAGCTCGAACAAGGCAGCGGTTTGAGGGTTGCGGATTCCGTTTCGCTTTAGGGCTCGGACGGCTTGGCGAGCTCGAAAGGATTTCGCGACTGCCTGTCAGGGGAGACTGAGCATCATCTGCGAGAACCGGGTGCACTTCAGTGGCGTCTCTCGCTACGCCGCGCCTGAGCCAGCACTAACTGGAGCTGGGAGAGTAGTAGCAGCAGCTGCAATACTGTAGTAGTTGTAGTTGTAGTTGTAGCCGTAGCAAGAAGCATCAGCAGCAGCAGCAGTAGCAGTAGCAGTAGCAGCAGCAGCATCAGCAACAGCAGCAGCAGCAGCAGCAGCAGCACTACTACTACTACTACTCCTCCTCCTCCTCCTGCTGCTGCTGCTGCTGCCTCTGCTGCTGCTGCTGCTGCTGCTGCTACTTTTTCTACTTCTACTTCTGCTTCCACTTCTGCTTCTGCTTCTGCTTCTGCTTCTACTTCTACTTCTACTTCTACTTCTAACTACTACTAATACCACACTACTACTACTACTACTACTACTACTACTACTACGACTACGACTACGACTACGACTACGACTACGACTACGACTACGACTACGACTACTACTAGTACTANNCTGCTACTACTACTACTACACCTACTACACCTACTACACCTACTACACCTACTACACTACCACTACTACGACGACGACTACTACAAGTTCATGAGAATCTTCCAGGTTGCTGCCGCCAGGGTTGCGTGTTGTGTGTGTTGGGCAAAAGATTGGCTGGGCATTCATCGCGCCGGCCAGACCTTCAACTCAATGCCAAGTCTCATAAGCAGGTCTCAGTCAAGTGCCTGTCGAGGTCCGGCCCGTGGCCAGAGGAAAACGAGGTGGAGCAGCTCAACAAGAGCATGGAGGACGTCTGCTGCGTGTACTACTTCTTCCTGCCAGATTGAGTTTAGACATGATTCCCCTTATCGTAAGACAAAAGCGGGTTGCAGTCCAGCGCTTGTCGATCACTTTTGGATCGCAGGTGCCTGCGTGCAGGGCAGGTACTGCGCTCTCAGTATCTGTTTCCACTGAGTCTCCAACCAAGTATCGATGAGTTGACATGTTCGACAACATTGCTGGTGCTTAGATTCCGGTGTTTTGCAGCCTTACACACCGCCCAGCTTTACACCATACATGAATGCTAGTTGTAGGGTACCATCACCACCGCCGTGACTGATCGCAACGTTTGGGAAACAAAGTCAATCATCAGTCGATGACTGCTAGAGTATGACACGAAGAAGCAGGTTCAGTTCTCATCTCACTGCTTCTGCGATTAGATCATTCTTCTGCATTCCGTCCCGGAAGGGATCCTCATGAGAGCCGAGAGTCATACTGCCAAGCCTTGAGATCCTTACGTGTCTTCTTAGGCCTGACTTGGGTCGGAGAATATCGGAGAGGACGTGTTGTGTGTCTTGGTGGGCACAGGAGTACACAGCAGCACTTCTGTCTGCAGGGCTGGCGGCAGCACCGACAGGATTTCTCCCTGGATCAAGTGTCGTTGGCCGAGAGGGATAATATGTGGCATAGCTAGATTCGAGATTCGTGTGGATCGTTGTCTCCCTGAAAGATGCGCGTGCACGTGCTGACACGTTGTAGCACACAGTGCTCCTCACTTTGCCACCTGGATATAGACGTGACATGCTAGCCTGCAGAATTCGCACCGACGTTTTTTCAACTGGGTTCGGTCTATAACACTTCAGCCCATGCTGGCAGAACTATAGATGATGACATCGTTTATGGTAGCCCCACCTTTCGCCAGGCGGTGACACCCGCCAGAGTGGGACACGCATTTCTCCATGCCCGGGCTGCACGCACAGAGAACGACCGGATTTATCCGGCCTTATGGAAGGAGAGGGGTGGAGAGAAGCTGAGGGAAGTGTCCGGCCCAGCAGAAAGCCTGGATGTAATTTTATTTATAATTTCGTTTGGAAAATGTTTTTTGCTTGTGGTATACCTTGGTGTTTAGGGTTTGTCCAGGTTTTGCCGTTTTGGCTTCCGCTCGGAATGTCAGCGAGGCTTCCGATATGCTGGTCATGTTGAAGACGATCTTGCATAGCACCTGCTGTAGTCGAAACACTCGGTATGCTTCTGCGCCGTTCCGAACGAGACCCTGAAGTAATGGCCGTTGGCTGTTGGCTCGTGACCCGAGCTTTCCAAGACGATGTGAAAGCAAGTCCACGTCATGTGATGGTTGGGAGAGGATGACATGGGCCACGGCTCTGCACTGGCAGGTGCATACAATTCACTCCTGCCTTGTCAGTGTTGATTTGCAGGGGAAATTGCCAATTTCATCTTGTCGTGACGTATAGTGCAGAGAAGCAGTCGGTGAAGACATAGCTTCATTAACGTAGGCTTAGCTATGTCAGCCATGTCAGTTATCAGCATGGTCCGGCAAGGTAGAGCTCTTTCAACAACAGAAAAGTCCGACAACCAGCTAGCACATAGCCATCTTGCTCGTCGTTGAGTCCATTTGAGATGTCGGAAAATTGGGGGCGGGTCTGGGTGTAGGTGTAAGGCTTATGTGGCACTTATGGAAATACTGACAAGTACGGATAGTTGAACTAAACAAAAAGGTGAAGTTGGATAAGCAATCATAAATCATTACACACACTCTCTCTATACATACATACATACATACATACATACATACATACATACATACATGTCTGTCTGTCTGTCTGTCTGTCTGTATGTACGCATGTATGCATGTATGCATGTAGGCATGTAAGCATGTAGGCATGTAGGCATGTAGGTATAGATATGTAGGTACGTAGGTATGTAGGGATGTATGTATGTATGCATGTATGCATGTATGCCTGTATGCGTGCATGCATGCATGCATGGATGTATGCATGTATGTGTGAGGGTGTACGTGTGTATGTATGAATGGATGAGTGTATGTATGTATTTATGTCTGTCTTTATGCCTGTATGTCTGTCTGTATGGATGTATGTATGTATGTATGAATGCATGTATGTATGTATGTATGTATGTATGTATGTATGTACCAATATGTATGTATATCTATATATACATATCCATATGCATGTGCCTACATACACCCACAAACACTATGCATGTATGTGTGTATATATACATGCTATTCTCATGTTTGTGAGTTCGGAGTTTCATCCTGATTATGGACAGGCTTTCAACCAGGCGACCGGGCTTGAATAGCAACACGACTTTCAGCACCAACAGCAGTGAAAAAGCAGCTGGTTCGATGCCCAACATCCAGCAAGCTGTAAACCAAGTACACCAAACTCCGACCCATCGATTTTGAATTATAAGGACCTGCAGGGCTGCAATTTCCAAGGCTTGAAACCCAGCCGGAAATCCAAAGTACCATTAAACAGTTCGAAACTCACAATCATGATATAGTACGACCCATCGGCCGTTTTTTTGTGCAGCGGAGGTGCCCTAGCCGCAGCGGTGCTGGTGAGGGCCCTCGGCCTGGATGACGGCCGTCCTTTGGGAAGGCCCATTGGCCTATTGAGCTGTGAGCGGACAGAAGGATCCAGAAGAATGCTCGCTAAGACCTCCTCCTCCTCCTCCTCTGTACCGTGCTGGGCTGAAGGCCTACAAAAAGAAGTCCAAAGGCATGATGGTGAAAGTTAAAGTATCATTGACAGGTTCAAAACCCCCCGCCCGCGGAAGCCTTTCCTTCTTTCCGGAACTGCGCAATTGAACCTCGAACCCTCCTCAGTATGCAATGCTGCATCGTGATATACAGTGTTACACTTATGATTGATACCTTATGACAGCCTTATGATGTACATGATGTGTGCAGAGAGCCTTATTGATGCATAGGTTTTGGGGCCGCAGGATTCTTGAAGCGATGCTTCCATCTGCCTGGCGAACGGCAAGCCCTGGCTTCGCAGGCAAAGCTTTTGCTTCGGGGTTCGGAAAGCTTAGGGCTTCTAGGATTGAAGAGCACCCAGCTGTTTGGGTTCATGGTTTAAGAAGTTCTTCTTCCGTGACCCCGAAGAAGTTGAGGGTTGATGGGTCTATACAGGGCTGTGGGAAAGCTTTGGAGGCTGCGCTGGCAACGTGCGGTCAGAGGCTCTTCGAACCTGAGGACTCAGGCTCCAAGCCGCAGAAAAAGTCCTCAAAGGTCATGTGGCTTGAGAGTTTTCGGATCCCTCTGCCTGCCATGCAGGACAGGCGGAGTTTGGCCAGAAGGGCTGGCGGGATGAAGGCTGGACGGGCTCCAGTGCTAGGCAAGACGGGAGCATCGCCTCGTGCAGAAGAGGAGGATGGTTTCTGTTTTCCGTGGAGCTCTTCAGAAGTGGCTTTGCCTGTGCAGCTCCGTTTTCCTTCATGCTATAACTGTACAAGACGGGCTGGCTCAGAATTCCGCCAGGAAAGGGTACCACCGCAGAAGTGATGCAGTTGCTGGGAAACACGGCGGCCCGGACCGAAATCAATGGGTCAAGTTCGCGCAAGTATATGTTCCAGCTGCTTGCATCATTCAGCGCTTAAACATGTGCATGCTCGTTGCTTTTTTTCTTGCCACGATCTGGCAGGGCCTAGGAGAGTGCCGACCCACATTCGCCCCATGACAGTAGCAGTAGTGGAGATACACTGGTGTACCATGGTGCACCTGCAACAGTTTGCAGCCGCTCTGACCAGGTTAACGTCTTCAGACTCTTGGATTCCTATCCCACAGAGTCAATGAGCTCATGCCCCGACCAGTGAAGCCTCGCCTAGGCAAGTCCGAGTGTGAGTGCTGAAAGCCCGAACCGCCGCAACCAGGAGGAGGACCTGCCCTTGAGCAAGTATCCTCCCGGCATGCGCACAGAGAAGAGAGACCTGGGCTTTGCCTTTGGCACCTTGGTGTTAATTTCATGGCGACCTTTTGGTTTCGAGTGGCGGGATTTCGATGGTCTTGAGGCCTTGCATAGTGTGGTTCATGTGAGTAGAATGGCAAGGGTAATGTGCCATGGATCTGAGAGTGGATGTGCAGAAGTCGCCTTCAGTAGCAGCTTGCCGTCTCCCCCCGCCAGTCTGCATCAGCCAACCAGTCTTTCTGCCCTAGGTGTTCACATTGTACGGGCACCGGCTTCCCTCCCCGCATGTATTGAATGTTTTGCATCCTTCGGTGCGAGATGTTGTTGCTGCAAGAGTCTTGCTTTCTGTTGTCGTCCGCGCAAGACGAGGCGACATCCTTGCATCAGCTGCCTGCAAGGCTGTCGATGCATGCACAGCCTCCAGTCTGAACTGAGCATGGTACTGTGGCGAGGTGTGGCACTGGGCACGCTACACGCCTCAGTTCTTGCCGGGCAGAATACCGTAACCTTGTGCTGGATGCATACGATGGCGGTTGGCATCCATGTCTTGTTGCATCCGAGGTGGATGCCTCCGCCGCACGGACAGCCGCAGGTTCGGCTCGGGTCAGGGTCCAGATCCACAGTCGTATATATCGAGGCCCTAGAACGGACCTGAGCAGCGACACGAGCTGGTCCAAGTCCTATTGTCAAATAGAGAGGTGCAACAGGACTGCTGACTGCTGGCAGGCTATGCAACGCAACCGCCACCTGCCGCTGAAGCAGTGAGCAAATCAAGAAGGTGGAAGCGCTGAGAGCCAATCGAAAAGACTGTGTACGGCATGGGTAAGGTCCTGAAAGGAACAAGTAACTACTAACGGACCAGGGTGCTTCTGGTAGTCTCATATTAAATTAGTGTGTATATCTATCTATCTACCTATCCATCCATCCATCCATCCATCCATCCATCCATCCATCCATCCATCCATCCATCCATCCATCCATCCATCCATCCATCCATCCATCACATCCATCACGTCCATCACATCCATCACATCACATCCCATCCCATCCCATCCATCCATCCATCCATCCATCCATCCATCGATCTATCCATCCCTCCATCCACCCATCCATCCATCTATCTGTATGCCTATCTCTAATCTATCTATCTATCTCTTTATGACTTTAGATTAGTTCGATATGTGAAGCGATTCGACATAGCAGGTTATATCCTAGGACAGGTGAGAATGCCGAGTTGAGTCGTCGGAGTCCTCGTGCTCAAGTGTCGTGCGGAACACAGTGTCTGCGTACGAGGGCGCTCTTGTTGTGTGAGGCTGGTGTGCTCGTGCTAACAAACAAAGAGAGATAATAAGGGGGAGAGAGAGAGAGAGAGAGAGAGGGAGAAAGAGACGGAGTGAATCCACCATGTATTATCACTGTACATCTCAATCCCACTATAATTTTCTGGCTACCAAGAATAATAACGGTGGGACTGTGACAAGCACACCTCCCGCTAGAACGGGGTCCTCTCAAGCAGGAGCGTGCGAGAAGAGTTGTAGCATCTCCTAGTTTCAGAGGTGCTTCAAGGCGACCCTTATGCCGATCTCAGATGTTGCGTGTTTGGCATTCAAGTGTTGACGTTTGTGCGGTAGCTTCGGATGCTGCAAAGTTTAGGTGGTGATGGCAGGGGGTCGAGGTCTTGGGAACGACGAGTAGGGCCAGGGCTGTTGAGATGAGTTAGGAGCTTTATGCTAGAATTGTTTGCTCTGTAGCTTCCTACCGCTTCTGCCTTGTCGTTGTGCTTGCACGAAAAAGCAGACGTTTCGGAAGGGTGGCCTTCATTCTGTGTATCTTGAAGCAGACAAGAGACAGAGACCTTCGCTGCATCACTGTTCTTCGGCTCGGACGCCACTTCGGAATCAAGCGGGCAAAGGCCTGTATGAAGTATGCATGCCAAGCCCATATTTCTTGATTGACTTCCCGGTTGACTGTCTGGAATCCTTCCCCAACCCCAGCGAATGCTGCCACCATTTTAAGGCGGATTTGCGTGAGGCCTGCGTGTAGTGTTCAGTGTCGCTGCTTTGTGGATGCCAGCAGTGCAGCAACTCGGCCGAGAGCATTGGCATGGAATCGTAAGAGTGGTCGATGTACAATTCTTGTGCTGAGCCTTCAGAAGTGGGATGCCTGTGACCTGGCTTGAGGCATCTCTGCCAGTACTTTGGGACGAAACGTGTCCCGACCCCCCCCCCTGCTTGGGCGCTGAGGTCATGGACTTTCGGCATAAGGCAGTATGTCCTCCACCTCCTCCAAGGAGGGACTCCTGGGGCCGGAGCCCTAAAGGAAACAGGGAGCCCGGCGCTTCAGAATGAAGCTCCCTCGATGCCTAGAGCCGGAGCTTCCTGAGCCCAGAAGCCCTCCATGCCCCAAAATTGGCTGCGGCTCGAGCCCCGTGTTTCTCTTAGCTCTTCTCTTCGCCTCTTCAAAAAGCGTCCGGATCTAACTATGATGGCGAAGGCGCTGGGTTTCGCCTTGTCCGTAGCAGCATTTTCCTGTGCTATGTCGCAAGACATGGTCGACATGGACAAGGTCTTGGCTGCCGATGCCGAGTGTGCCACGGGCGAGGAATGCGCCCTGAACGCTTTGCAACAGAAAGCAGTGGTAGCCCAACTGCAGGCAGAAGACTCTGTAGAGAAGTTCGCTGCTGCTTTGGAGGAGGGCGAGGAGGAGTTAGCAGCTGAAGTGCAGAGCAGCTCTCAGTCTGCTCAAACGGCTTCAGACACGGAGAAATGGGGCCCATCGCCGCCTCCACCACCTGCCTTCAACCCTTACTATCATCAGTATGGCAACCCTTACGGGCAGATGCATCCTGGGCTCAACCCCTATGGTGGCCACCCCTACGGAGTGCCAGGCCCAGTGTGCCTGAACAAGATCGAAGGCTCGTCCTGCATGGTCTTCAGCTGCGCCAAGTCTCGTGGGCCAACGACCTGCAACACCCAGGACTACTTTTGCTACTGTCAGCCGGGCTTTTGCTCTGATGGCAAGGGCTGCGTCCCGCAGGCACATCTGTACCGCTAGGCTCCGCTAGGTTTGAGCATGGCTGGACTGCAGATATGCTCAGAAGGGGGTGGGGAGGCCTGCCAAGGCATTTTGATCCACATCCACTTGGTGGAGTTAGGTTTTCTCTACGGAGTATGCTGGCCTCAGCCAAGAGAGCTGAGAGGTTATCTCGAGCGAAAACAGTGCGGAGGGACCCAGGGAGTAACTTTGCAATGTTTTCTTTTGTAGAGCATCATCCGGCAGTACGTGGTATGCGCACGAAGATGTGATGCTGATCAAGCTCTGGGCAACTGGAATCGCTAGCCGCTAGCACAGTTTGTCCTCAGGCCTCAGGGTCTTAGGATGTTTAAGAGTCTAAGGCTTTGATGGTCAGTGAGCTAGAATAGCTAGAAGTGGTGTTGGGTGGTTGAGCCAGGTCAAAACTGGGTAACCCTGCGGAAGATAGGTATGTATGTATGTATGTATGTATGTATGTATCTGTCTGTCTGTCTGTCTGTCTGTCTGTTTGTCCGTCTGTCTCTCTGTCTATCTATCCATCTATCTATCCGTATGCACATGTGTGTATGTGGTATGTTTTCGAAAAAACAAACCTTTCCATACCGAGTGAAAGTTATCATCGCATCAGATCATTTCAACTCATGTCACACCATACCATGTCAGATCATGTCACACGTGTAAATGTGTGTATATATATAAACAAGAGTTCATCTGAGTCATGGTCAAACCCCGTTAGTCCGTTAGTCTAGGCTGTATTTTGGAATGACCCACCGTGTCCAACAGTCTTGGGTTATGAGGGCGGCCGCAACTACATGCTAGGTTGAACGGAGTCAGAGGAAGCGTCTCTGTGGGCCTGGCCGATGACCCGGGTTATGACAGGAATGCAGTTGTGTGGCCTACCGATGCCCCAACAGATACCCAGCCAGCAGATGTGGAAGCCCGGGGCCATGCAGCCCCTCAATCCGTACACTTAGATTAGCAGCCTCGCAAGTATGTACAATGAATGAATGTAAGTATGCATGTGTGTGTTTGCGTAGATATATGCATACAGACACACATACATACAGACATACATACATACATGTACATGTATATGTATATGCCTTGGATACGTATATGTATACGTACGTGTATGTATATGTATTTGTATATGCGGTCCTCAGGTTTTGTTCGGCGGCCGCAAGTACACGCATCGATCGAGTTATGGGATAGTGTCGCCACAACACATTTTGACAACGACTCATATGAAACTCGCTTAAATCATATTCATTCAGTCCCATGCATGGCCCATGACCCAGCCCTCCAAGAGCGTCCGAGTTACGAGAGTGGAGTCCGAAGGCAAGTAAAGCCCCGAATAAACCTCGAACCCAACTAGACTAACTTCCAAAATCCTTAACCTTGCTCATCACAAAAAAACTCCAAAAGCCCGAAAAGCTCAAGACACCAAGACCCTACATTCTACACCTCTTGACCCCATAATCCCCATGTCTAAAAAGTTTCCAAAAAAAAAAAAAACGTTTCCGCCCTAGGCCTGCCTGAGCCGGTCGGCTACAACAACGAGGTGCTTGGGCTTGGGGACCATCGAGTTTAGGGTGCAGGGGGTTTAGGGTTTAGGGTGCAGGGGGGTTGGTTTCCAGCTTAGGTTTATGATGGCGTCTCTTTTTCTGTGATACTCGCACATAGGGCTTTATGTCAGTAGTGAATGGGGTTTCGAGGTTCAGGATGCATTCGGCGACTAGGATGATTCGTCGATGCGACGGGAAACCTGAGATGCGAGTTTCAGATTCTGGGCAGGTCGCCTCGCCGTATTTTCCACCGAGTGCCCCTCCACCTCCGCCACCTCGAGGAGGTCTTCATGGGGCCTCTTGCTTAGGGTGTAGGTCTAGGGTTTCGTCTAACCAGGAGTCCTTACAATGTGTGTGATGAGGGAGTTGATGAGAATTAGGGGTTACTGATTCAGGGCTTCCCTTGCAGGTTTTGCAGGGTGTGTAATTTGGCGTCTTGAAACTTTCTGGGCTTTTTTTTGTCATGCCCAGTTTGTGTTGCCTTGAAGACCATGTGAAACTAGTTTGTGGAACCCTGTTTCTCTTTCCCGGCTGAGGGTTTCGACTGGGGCTTAGTTCAAGGGCTTAGGGTTTGGGGCTTTTCGGTTTCAGAGCTTACACAGGCAAGCTTTAAGTGTTTTCGTTTGTGCAACGGCAATTTGCCACCGAGCCATAGTACTATAGTACCTGGCATCGTATGCTACAGCAATGCCGGTTGTGTGGAAACTGTTGCGCTTTTCGATGCTCAGTGCCGCACATCATGTCAATGCGCCTCTGGCGAAGAGTTTCTGATTTGCTCAACTGCCGATGCGGCAGCGAATGTTCCAATGTCCCTGGTTACAGTGAGTTTTTATTAGAACATCGCAACATGGCTATTTTGGGGTCAGTTGTCGGCAGAAAGTCTTAGGAGTCTGAATGCAACGTCGGCTCCCGATGAGACCAAGCACATCCCTAAACCCTAAACACTGCATCGTCCGAGTACCTAAACCATCATGCTGATGGCTTTGCTCTGCCGCAGGTGACTTTGGTTTGCCTGACTTCTCACATGGCACCCGTGGGCTAGGGGACTTCCTGCACAACCGTATTCACGAGGCAGGGGCTGTCCGGGCGAGATAGGTGGGTAGGGAGATAGATAGTTGATAGATGGATAGATCGACGGACGATTGCCGTAATATTCAGGGGTCACAGTAGCATTGTTGTTCAGGCATACTTTCAGCAACATGTATGTTCAGGCACCGGAAGCTGCATGGATATAAAGCTTGTCGCGATTCAGGCTGCACAGGGGTTTACAGGGGTTTAGGGGTTTTGTTTTGAGGTATCCGGGCTGTGACAGCAGGCTGCTTTGGTTCGGTTCCGTTGCGCAGACCCTGCACGACCAGGCAGAAACGCGAGTGACTCGCTATTCCCAGCAGCCTGCCGTCCATGAAGCTGTGGCTCCTTGACGAGTGGGCTGCTGTTCGGGCTGAGGGGTCTTTGGAAGTATGAGCACAGCTCTAGCCCTGTCGGGCTGGAGGTCCCAGTTCAGGGGAAATACCCTTCGACATTAAGCAGACGCCGAACGGGTTCAGCCAGACCTATTGGCAACTGGCACTGTCAACAACTCCTCTAAAAGCAATTCGATGCTTTGTTGTCGTTTCCTCTGTGGGTCAAGCATGATCAAGCTTTCTAGTTGGGTGCTGCCTGCAACATTCTTGCGTCGTCGGATCACCTTTCGGGACTTTGCTAGCCTTTCTCTGGCCTTTGGCTGAAATTCTCAGTTCTCGATTTCATCTCCTCCAGCAAGGCAACGTTGTGATGCGATTCCGACTATGTCCCCGTTTCCCAGCGAATGGTGCAAATGATGAAATGCAATGAAATGTCAGGTCAGGTAGGAACGAACCGAGACGCACATGAAGTTTGCTTCGAGCTATACCAGGCGACGTTCTCGCCCACGGACAGACTGCAGAAGCCCAGACACCCAACTGCAATTTGACCAGTGGGGCAGACTTTTGTTGATTTATGACGAGACGTTGGCACAGCGGCGGGGAGAGTAGCGTAGAACACCGTGTCCAGTTCTTATGGACAGGAGCTGTTGATGCGATATCCATAGCAACGCTAGTAGTGCCAGAACGCTAGTAGTGCCAGAAATTTCCAGCTCTACACTCGCAATGCCAATCAGCAGGAATCATCTAAAACCCGGGACCCGGACCCCCAAGATCCAAAATCCAACCTAGGGCCTGGTGCCGGTGCTGGTGCTGCTTCCGGCGGTGGTGCTGCCGGCGGTATCGTCGCTGAGCTGACTGGCGACGGCCGCTTCTCCTCGGGACATCAATTGAACGCAGGCTCCGCATGCCGATGGCTAATTTGGTCAGGGCATTGCGGCGCAAAGTTAACGATTGAAGGCACAAGGTTCCCATGATCAGCCGTAGCAACAAAGCTAGCCCCGCTAGCAGACCAGCAGCAAGTTTCATTGCATGTTTTGACAATACTTGAAAGCTCAGGCCTGCCGCCTGCTAACCCCACATACACCCCACATGGAAATGCCAAATCTAGGTTCTTGAAGCCTCTAACCTGCAAAAAGCTTTGCCAGGAGCACCTGCCTTCCACCCGCGGCAGCACCAAACACCGCAGCAGACCTTCGAATTTGAGGGCGTGCCTCGCCCGTTGTCGTCAGGAGACCACTAGCCGGCACGATGTACATACCGTGTACGTATGCCTGTGGCGTAATGCAATGTAATGGCACGTGATTCTTGTAATGTGTGTAATGTATGTGCGGTATAGCTTAATGTATGTACGGCATGTAATGTATGCAATGCATTCAATGTATGTAAGTCTTGTATGTAAATATACTGCACAACCTATGTATCGATAATCGGGTATATGTACATGTGTATGTAACTGTATGTATGTATGTATGTATGCATGTATGCGTGCATGCATGCATATGTTTGTATGTTTTTTCTTTTTGTCTGTGTGTGTGTGTGTGTGCGCGTGTGCGTGTGTGTTTGTCTGTTCGTGTGTATGTGAGTGTGCATGAGGATGTAGCTACGAGGATGTATGCACGTATATGTGTACGTATGTCTGCGCAAGTATGCTTGTATGGATGGATGGATGGTTGTGTGTATGTGCGTATGTATGTATGTATGTATGTATGTATGTATGTATGACTGAATGTAGGTATGTGTGTGTGTGTGTAAAGTATGTAATGGATGTAACGCATGCATTAGTGTAGATAAGGTATCTCAGCTACGTAAGTTATGTATGTGTGTGTTTTGGCGGTATGTCTGCATGTATGTATGCATGCATGCATGCATATGTGCGTGTGTGTATGCATGCATGCGTGCATTGATGTATGTGTGGCTGTATGTATGCATGTATGTGTTCATGTCTGCATTTACCTACCTGCCTGCCTGCCTGCCTGCCTGCCTACCTACCTACCTACCGATAGATAGATCGATAGATAGGTAGGTAGGTGTAGATAGATAGATGGATAGGCAGATAGATAGAGAGAGATAGAGAGAGAGAG